GAAACATTGGCCAGATTGGCAACGATCCGCTCCTTGGCTTCTGCTAGCAGCAAGAGAAAGACAAAAGGGTGAGTGCGTATGTGCAGTGGTGAGGAGAGCCGGGGGTAGGGAGGCTGGAAACATTGGCGAGGTTAGCAACGATCCGCTCCTTCGCTTCTGCTAGCAGTGGGAGGGAGGCAACAGGGTGAGTGCGTGTGTGCAGAGGTGAGGAGTGTTGGTGTTAGCCCTCAATCTCACATTTTGTACTTGTACTTTTATATCCTAGTTTAGTGTACTCTGCACTTTGTGTTTGGTTGGGTGTACACCCACATCCCAACCAAACCCAAATGTAATCTCCAAGCAATCTCCAACCCACCAATTGGAGATTGCCTTGGGATTACTCTTGATTCCCTAGGATTGCCCCTGATTCCCTCCTCATCCTTACCTTGCTCACTACTAATGTATCAGTTCTAAGCCTAAGTTCTGACAAGGAGAGCCGGGGGTACGGAGGCTGGAAACATTGGGCAGATTGGCAACGATCCGCTCCTTGGCTTCTGCTAGCAGTGGGAGGGATGCATGAAGGTCAGTGCATGTTGGAGAGAGGGGGTATGAAAGAGGACACCAGTTAGGCGCCATTGAGTTCGAAAATTCGGTGGTAACCGGTTTCGGCGTACAAGCCTTCTTCGGGATGCTTGAAGGTCAGTGCATGTTGGAGAGAGGGGGTATGAAAGAAATCAGAGAAACGGGAAGGAGTGGGGATGGAAAGGGGGGTGGGGGGATTGGAGGAGAGGGGAGGAGGGGAGGAGGGGAGGAGGGGAGGAGGGGAGGAGGGGAGGAGGGGAGGAGGGGAGGAGGGGAGGAGGGGAGGAGGGGAGGAGGGGAGGAGGGGAGGAGGGGAGGAGGGGAGGAGGGGAGGAGGGGAGGAGGGGAGGAGGGGAGGAGGGGAGGAGGGGAGGAGGGAGGAGGGGAGGAGGGGAGGAGGGGAGGAGGGGAATGGAGGACAAAGAAGGGGAGTAGAAGTGGGAAGACAAGATTGGGAGACAGGAAAGCGGAGGAAGAGAAGGAGTGGTGAAAGAAGAGAAGGGAAGGAGGCAGGGACACAGATAGAACAAGTAAACCTGGAAGCAGACGAGAAATATCAAACACACGCAGAGGACAGAAGAATGCATTGTTAGGCTAATTCATTCCAGAGTTGACTTTTGAGTCGACTCAAATGTCAACTCGGTATAATGTCAGAAGAATGCATTGTTAGGCTAATTCATTCCACCTTTTGAGTCGACTCAAAAGTCAACTCGGTATAATGTCAGAAGAATGCACTGTAAGGCTAATTCATTCCAGAGTTGACTTTTTGAGTCGACTCAAAAGTCAACTCGGTATAATGTCAGAAGAATGCACTGTAAGGCTAATTCATTCCAGAAAAAAACACAAGCTCTGTCCTGGTGAACGACATAGTGTCTGGAACCTTCGTCTCACCTTCGCTTTCAGTTGTCTGGAACTCAGTGACAAGTGACTGCTCACAAGGCAAACAGGGGACCGAGGGGAGTGCATGGGAAAGAAATCAGATGTCCTTTGACATCTCACCCTCGCTTTGAATCGTCTGGAACTCAGTGACAAGCGCCTGCTCACAAGGCAAAGACCGGAACAAAGGGGTGGGATATACCGGAACACATGGGATAGGGGAAATGGTTGTTTGCAAGGGTGGTCTGGAACTCAGTGACAAGCGCCTGCTCACAAGGCAAAGACCGGAACAACAGGTTGGGATTTAACGGGGGGAAAGGTGATGAGGGAAATGAAAGTGATGAAGGTTGCTTGCAAGGATGGTTTGGAAGTCAGTGACAAGCGCCCACTCAGTGACAAGCGCCCACTCAGTGACACAAATGGATGGGTTGCGTGGAGCTTGATGACCCACGCCTCACCCCACGAGTGAGAGATTGCGGGTAGAGGGACAACTTTTGAGGCGCCTCAAAAGTCGTCTCTCTCTACCCGCAACTTCTAAACGGTTGTTGGCCGTTTAGACCCCACGAGTGAGCGGGGAAGGCAAAAGTGAAGTTTCCGCGTTGCAGGCGTGGCAAGAAGTCAGAGGTGAAAACGAACGGGTATACCTCGAGTAGAACGCGAGCGAATCTTACCTGAAGGTACTCAAGACGCGGCGTGCCGCTCCTTCCCTGTCGCCTGCCTCTTGGTCCTCCTACCTCCCTAGCAGACTCATGATCCCGAGGCCCACGCAATTCCGAACAGACTCATGATCCCGAGGCCCACGCAATTCCGAACAGACTCATGATCCCGAGCCCCACGCAATTCCGAACAGACTCGTAAAAAGGCAGAGTAGAATGTTAACGAGTCTTACCTGTATGTACTCAAGACGCGATGTTCCGCTCCTCCCCTGCCTCTCCGTCAATCGCTCTGCGGTGCTAAACATGGTCTTGCGTGTTGTAAGGGCGTTTTACTCTCTAGAGCGCTCCGCTCCGGTAAACCTATGACGTTCCAGTCCTTCCCTGTCTATCGGACAATTGCGCCACCGCGCTAAACATGGCTGTGCGACTTCGAATCGCGATATGATTCAGAGGAGTTACTACAGCTTTCCGGTCGCCTGCCGCCGCTGCTACATCCAACCGCGTTTCGTTTCCCCGTCATGCTAAAGACGATTTGACGTTATTTATCTCGATATGATTCAGAGGCGTTCCGCTGCAGCGATCTTACGATGTTCCGTTCGCCTGCCGTATCTGCCTCATTCAACCGCGCCGCGTTTCGCTCCCGTGGTAGCCATAACTCTACAGGCGATCCGATCCTTGAGGCGCTTCAAAAATCAACCTACGACGTTCCGCGTAGCCTACAACGCTCGGATCGTCTCTGGTGGTCTCACTTCCATTCAACCGAACCGCATGTGATTTTTGAGTCGACTCTGGATCAGCCTACGCCGCTCCGATCGACTCTGTTATCAGATGCATGAAATCTGAATACAAATGTATACTGAAGCTGCCGCCAGCGTCGCTGCGGTGCTCAACATGAAATCCTTCCCTATCTGCTTCCTGCGTCTAGAGTTCACGCTTCCTGCAGAAGACGGCGGGTAACGGTTGGGGTGTCAGGATGTCAGGAGGAGCTCTGACGTTGTGCGTGGGCCGTTATTAAGGAATTCGTTTACACGCAATGATCGAATATTTTGTTGAAAAGGTCACTGCTTAAAGTACAAAACGTGCTGACTGGGTCCATCTAGGTGGGCTGGAGGGGCCACTGTCCATGTCAAAAGGCCTGGAAACTAGGCATTCTGAAAGTTGCAACTTCGTATGGCTTCCTTGATCATGCAGCATGAACAAGACGCACGAGCTGGACTAGAAGTCCTGCATCCTATGGAAATTGCTCTGCATATGCTTTCATACATTTCTCCATTCAAATGCAAGGATTATGGCCATAAGTGATTTTTTCAACAACATTGTTGATGGGTAATGATGCAGTACACAGGCTCAGATGCTATCGGCCACTGAAGCACAATCATGCCATCTCAGCTTAGTCACCATCTCCTCAAGTGACAGTGTACCGGTATATGGGTTAACAGTACGAACAGAGATAATGATTCTCTCAAGTGTGAAGGTCCTCTTTCCCTCCTCTTGAAGCCCAACTCTGATCATTATCTCCATGACGCTGAAGAAGAAGCTGCATGAGGTCATTTGATGACACAAAACCACGAAGACGTTGGGCTGGCCAGATTTACTTGCTAACGTATGGTGGTTGAGCCCATATAGAGGAGCCACCTTTAAAGATGATGAATTCAAATTGGCAAAAGTGAATGCCATGTTTGGTAGGTATTGGACAATGTCGCATTGCTCGATCATCCCAAATTTGTTTTCTGGGGGGGGTGGTTTGGACAGTGGGAGACAGTACTATGTATTTCGAAGTGCAGTGTGGGTACACGCTACTGACTCGCTACTCCCTCCAATCTCCAACTTCACACACAGTACGTCGGATCTCCAACCTTTCGAACGGAGTCCCTACACTGTATCTTGAACGCACTCCACACTCTCTCGAGACTCCCCCTCCACTACACAACAGCTGTATACGTGGGGAGTTCAGATTGCTCAACCACACCCAATTGGGTTTGTTTGTTCGGCTTTGTTGAAACCAAACCAAACCAAACCTTTGTTGAAACTAAGGGCGACGTCAGGTTGTACAACTTTTTGTACGCCCACTGCGGTTAACTCTGTTTCAATACGGTGCAGAGCGGTAAACGTCAAGAACCGCTTTCCACCGTTTTGGAACGTTTTGAACCACGATACATGAACTGTAAACCCATGAGAAATGTATAACCTGATGTCGCCCTAAACCAAACCAAACCAAACCAAACCTAAGCACTTCCCACGTCCGTCCGATCAAATCGTTTCGATGGCTACGATCACCATTTGCAAATGGGCTTTCTTGAAACCCCACTTGCACATGATTGGTTGCCCGGATTGTCTCGGATCGAGCTCAGAGCTCCTGCTGCCAACCAACTCGAAACCCTAGAGCAAACTCTATGTCGTTTGTATTTAGCTTGTGAATGCAGAGTGGTTCAATTCAGTTTTTAGTTCACGGTCACGTTCAATTCAAATCCAAGTACTCCCTCCTTCTACCTTTACTATCGCTACTCCAGAGCATCCGCAGCCGGAACTCTAGGCGGAAAGTTCCACTACTTCTGTTAGTACCATGGTTCTTAACTACTCATGTCGCTTCGTCATTCCACAATGAGTCTCGGACTTCACGCATGTTTTCTACTGCTTGCTGTTACGGCCGTGACTTCCGTATGCTTTCATTTCCCTCGCTTCTCCCTCCCATTAGAACTCTTCCCTTCCCCTATTCTCCTTGTACCTTTCCGCAACATACGTGATCCTCCCCTTCCCTTACCATTTTTCCCCCTCCTCTACCTTTTCGAAATGGCAGAACTTGACGCGGTGGATCGCTTGATATGACTACGGTTACGGGCGATGTGGCGATAGTGATGCTCGGCGATACCCTTTTGCAATGCCGCTGTAGCTTCATAGTCGAACCCTATGTTCACTCCAAGTTTCTTTCTTTCTCCCCTTTCCCTTGTCCACAATCCGCTGAAGTCGACGAACGGCGCGAAGGGCAAGGTGGCGACGACGCAGGCGGCGGGGTCGACGTACGACATCTACGACGGCTCATGGGTGTCCGACCGCGCCCACCGCCCCGCCTACGACATGTCCTCGTGCCCCTTTCTCAAGGTGCGCCGCATTGCCGTCGCTCATTGCGCGGCTTATTCTTTCTTTGCTCACGCGTGTTAGATCGTCGCATTGCCTTCGGGAATGTGCGATACTGCTGATGTAAATGGCGCAATTGTGGAGGGAGCACAATACGATACTCGCCAGCCAAGTTTATGATGCGAATGCGGAACAAGTGAGTTGCTCCATCCCGCATCGGACTAACCCGTTTGTGTCGACACACTACCGCAGTGCGAATCGCGTGAGAAGCATCCCTTCCTCGCCTGCACGTGCAGCCTCACCCTGCATCCCCTTCCCTCGCCCCACCTTCCCTGGCAGCACACCTTCCCTTCACCATCACCCGCTCTTCCTCTTTACCTCGCTCTCCCGCCCTCTCCCTCCCGCAACAGCCTAGCGGCGGCGGACAGCAAGGTGACGGCGTCGAGCACGAGCAATGTGCGGCTGGGAGCTCACCTTCCCTTCACCGTCCGCCGCACCTCCTCTTAACCTCCCTCCCCGCCTCACTCCCTCCCACAGCACCCTTACGGAGGCAAGTTTATGATCCTCCCCCCTTCCCTTCACCATCACCCGCTCTTCCTCTTTACCTCGCTCTCCCGCCCTCTCCCTCCCGCAACAGCCTAGCGGCGGCGGACAGCAAGGTGACGGCGTCGAGCACGAGCAATGTGCGGCTGGGAGCTCACCTTCCCTTCACCGTCCGCCGCACCTCCTCTTAACCTCCCTCCCCGCCTCACTCCCTCCCACAACACCCTTACGGAGGCAAGTTTATGATCCTCCCCCCTTCCCCCTCCTTCCCCTCCGGCTGTCATGATCATCCTAGTTTTTTTCTTACCTCGCTGACTTTCCCGTTCTCCTCGTCCCCCGTGCGCCTCTCTCCCCTTTCCCGCCGCTCCCCCTCCCCCGCTCATTCCCTTCCGCAGTTGCGGCAGCGCGCACGATCCCTCGTCCGTGTGTTTGACAGAGATGGTTTCTGATTCCATGGAGACCGACTCTGCGAAGAGCCACACTCTCGACCACGGCCTGCTCGACGCGATTCACGGCAGCGAGGGTCGATATAACGTGGCATACGCGGATTCGTTCTACGCGCGCATGGCGGAGCAGGACGCGCAAGCTCCGCGGATGGGGGAGAGCGGCGGGCGTCTTTCCGCTTTGCGCCCCACCCCTATTCCCTCAGCGCCTGCGCCTCCGCGTCAAGCCATCCGTGCTTCCCCCTCCTCCCTGTGCCCCACGCACCGCCACTGCAACGTGTTGGCGCATAGCAGCTGTGGTTCCCGGAGCGAGAGGTGTCCATCTAGAGGCGCTACCAAAAGGTACGCACGCCTGCTCACCCTGCCCTACCCTTTCTTCCGGCCATCTTCTCCGCCTCATTCCCTTCTTCACTTTCCCTTGGCCCTTGTCCGTTTTTCCCTTCTGCTAGCTTCTTGTTTCTCTGAGCAGTGTCTTCCACGTTCGTGTTGCCATCGTAATCTCCTCCCCACCACCTTCTCCCCCACCACCCTTCCTCCCCCCCCGCCTCCTCTGCCCCGTCCCCTCCTCCCCCGTGCTTGAGCAGCTGATAGACGAGTCACCGAGCACGTTTGTTGACGCCGCCTCGCGCAAGGCGCTGGTGGAGTTATTAGAAGTAACTCATGCTGTGGCCATGCCCGTCCATGCTCATGCCCGTCCATGCTCCTGTTTCCCTTTCGTTTGTCTCAAACCACCCCAAATCAGGCGTGGAAACTGCTCTGGAAGCAACTGCAACGCCTAAACCACCACCACCGACACAAACACTGCTAACGCCAATGCCGCTACAAATTCCTTAGCAGCGGCGGCAGCAGCAGCGACTCCCGGAGGTTCAGCCTTCCCATGCCAGCACTCAGTGGGATTGCAGCAGGGGGAGCCATTGTGCTGCTGCTGGTTGCCATCACTGCAAGCCCCGCAAGACCGGGTGTGATAGTGGCCGTGCTTATGTGTGATGCCACTGTATGTTGTGCGTTGTTTAAGTGGAACCTAAACACTATTTTAATGAATAATAAATCTCTGACAAAACTAGTAGTTGTTCAATACATTTTGTATTGAAAGCAGTATACGTCTTTGTTACACGATGTAACATTTGTTACCTTGTAATGTTTGGAGTAGTTGCTACAATGTATGTGGTATTTATCCGCACTGTTCCGAGGTTGTTACTACCGAGAATCTCCGTACCGCACACCCAGCGCACTTCGATGGATAGTGTTGCGACACAGCAATTAAAGTGTGGGGTCTCCCAACCCCCGCGGAGTACCAGCAGGGTTGCGACATTGTACCTACTGCACGCTGCGGTGAGTAGTAGTTTGTATGTATTAACACATATGCGTACATACCCCTCAGGAGTGGAGTAGCTACTTAGTAAGTACACAGCACGTTTATAGTACATAGTATGCAGGTTCGCCTTTACTACTTTGGGATCATGTCATTCAGAACCATCACAGCGTCTGTCAGATTCTCCTGGCACTTGCACTTTTGAAATGGATGCATAATGGAAAGCACATTGCTCCCCTTGCAGCTGATATCCAGGAGTATTACAGACGTTTCCACTTGAGGGGTGAGATCAGGCACATTGGAAGGACTGAAACTAGAGCAGCACGCCGCGAAAAGCCGTCGGTAATCGAAGTCGTAAGTGAGCTCGACGGTCATCAATGAGGGAAAGTGTTTCCTGCATTTTTCTCTCCACACTCTCTGACTGTAAGCAACTTCTTTGAAATCCTTGCGCACTAGAGAAAAGGATATCACGTCCAACGGAGGGAAGTATTGCGTGCAAAGGCTTTCCAACACATTATGAGGCACGGACGCTAGAGTTTCTGTGACCTCATACCGCTCCGCCATGGAATGCCTCAAGAACCTGAATTCAGAGCTACTCAAAAGCAGCGAGACAGCGTGCTTGGTAAATATGGAACCTGGAATGGCTAGCCCGATGACAATTTATCCATTTCTTTTCCTAATTGCCTATGCTCGCTCTCGTCGCGTGTTTCAGTCGATGAGTTTCCAAGGTGGAAGGAAAATTTCTGTCGACCATGATGAATCTCGCATGTTAATCGAACGGTCGAGAGGATCTGGAAGTAACACTCATCCTAGCGAGTCCACGCACACACCCTAGGGAGGAGGGAGTTATCGGGATCATCTCGAGAATGGCTGGTGGTGGATGAGAGAGTTGAGATTACGGCGTGCTAGATCGCCACACAATTCCGAAAATGGGGTCTGGCCGAATTTTCGACGACCAAATGGTCGTCATATTCTTCGCGAACAACGACGAGGTGGCCGAATCAGACTCGACTCTTTAACAGCCAAATTTTACAGTTTTGGCAATTTAACAACTTTGGTGGCCGAATTGCAAGCTGGTTCAGAAAAGTTGTTAAATTTGCAGTTACTACAGTAGTTTAGAATGTGCGACGGGGTCGCACATTTGACGGCGATATTTCTCATTTGACGCGATCATAAATTCTGTCGTTGGACGAAACCGTGCGACGTCGCATGCGTTCGTCGCACACTATGTCGACTACTTGGCCGTTTCGGAGTCGACTCGGCGTCGTTTTCGTGTCGACTTTTTAAACGGCCATCAAATTCGTTATTTTTTTACGAAATTCGCGACAGTCGCCACTTGACTTACGACGGTCGCAAACTGGTTACCTTCGCGAAAACGGCCCGACGGATTGTGGCCGAACTTTTGGAGTTCGCGATTTAACACGCCCTTACTAGCCATTCAACAGCTCGGAGCTTGTTTGGAGATCCCCACCCGGCAACCCGATAACGTTTTCGCGAAAATTGGTGGTGAGGGAGGTCTGGAACATAACTCGCTTTGGTGGTGTTCGCAAAGACTATAATGTTATGTCAAACATTATATATGTTCTGCTTGTGTAGGCTACAGTGGGTTAGCCTATAGGGGGTACACAATTCTAGGGTTTCCTACTTGTACTCATTTCACTGCTAGTTCATACATTCCTGTTCGCTTATTCTCACATGGTATCGAGCAGGTTCCCCTGTGGGAACTGTTCGTAGGGCCCACCACCGCTACCTCTTAACCCTTTTTTCCTGCCCGGAGCGCGCTCCGGGCCCTAGTACTTTTTTTTTTTTTTTCGATCTGCCCTAGTGCTCTGAAGGCCGCCCGCCCTAGCGCCCGAGCGCCGCCGCCCTTGCGCCCTGACGGCCGCCCGCCCTAGTGCCCTGACGGCCGCCCGCTCTAGCGCCCGAACGCCGCCCGCCCTAGCGCCCTGACGGCCGCCCGCCCTAGCGCCCTGACGGCCGCCCGCCCTAGCGCCCGAGCGCCGCCCGCCCTAGCGCCCGAGCGCCGCCCGCCCTAGCGCCCTGACGGCCGCCCGCCCTAGCACCCGTGCGCCGCTCGCCCTAGCGCCGTGACGGCCGCCCGCCCTAGCGCCCTGTCGGCCGCCCGCCCTAGCACCCGAGCGCCGCCCGCCCTAGCGCCCGAGCGCAGCCCGCCCTAGCGCCCTGACGGCCGCCCGCCCTAGCGCCCGTGCGCCGCTCGCCCTAGCGCCCGAGCGCCGCCCGCCCTTGCGCCCTGACGGCCACCCGCCCTGACGCCTGAGCGCCGCCCGCCCTAGCGCCCTGACGTCCGCCCGACCTGACGCCTGAGCGCCGCCCGCCCTAGCGCTCTGACGACCGCCCGCCCTGACGCCTGAGCGCCGCCCGTCGTCGCCCCAGCGCCCTAGCGCTGGACGCCCGCGAGCCGCCCGTCGCAGCCGCCCGTGAGCTGCCTGTACGCCGCCCGCCGAGCCGCCCGTGCACCCGCCCAGCGTGAGCCGCCCACGACCGCCCAGGCTGCCGTCCCCTTCTACCGGCCCCGCAACTGCACCTGCTGGCCCCGCCGCTGCACCTACCGGCCCCCACCACCCACCCCCCCTTTTCCCGTCGCCCGTCGCGGCTCCTTCGGGGGCCGCCAGCAGAGGGGTGGCAGGTGTGTGGCCTCCCCTGCTTCTCCTCCTCCTTCATCGCTCACCTGCAGCAGCCGAGCCGCCCCACCGCCGAGCCGCCCTGCACCCGAGCCGCCCAGCAGCCGAGCCGCCCTGCCGCCGAGCCGCCGGGTCGCTGAGTTGCTGAGCTGCAGTTGCTGCCGAGCCGCCCTGCCGCCGAGCCGCCGAGTCACCGAGCTGCTGAGCTGCAGTTGCTGCCGAGCCGCCTTGCCGCCGAGCCGCCCGAGTCGCCCGAGCCGCCGAGCCGCCGAGCTGCCGAGCCGCTGAGTCGCCGAGCCTACTCTTCCCACCACTGGTGAGCTCTTGCCCTGCTAGCACGCTGCGCGTCGCCTGCTTGCCTGCCTGCCTGCCTTTTGGCTTGCCTGGCTGCCTGCCTTCCTGCTGCTAGTCCTGCTCCTGCTTCTACTTGCGGAGCCAGATGCAGCCCCAACGACGCCTGCGTGAGTCCCTCACGCCCCAGCAACTGCGTGAGTGGTACGTTGGTTGGGGCTGTAGGGGTGGCGACGCTACTCCTACTTCCACTCCTGCTGCTTCTACTCGTGGTGG